TATACTATGATTGGTCTAAACACACGTGGTGTCCTGTGTACAGATACATGGACACATTTTTAAAGGACTTATTTATAAACTAGTTGGGCAACCAGTCAAGTAGAAAACAAGTTAGTCTAAAAGAACACACCATATTTCAAATGGGTGAAGGAACTGGAACTATTTATCTGAAAAGAGAAAAGACTTGGAAGAAAGCCCTTATATCACTATTGGCAATAGCTGGCAAGACATAGAAATTATTTCCCACTCCACCCCAGACTTCCATTTAAAAAGACAGGTAAAGGAATAAAAAATGGTAAAACTCTACAACAACACAGACAATGGCAGGAAGGATATATGAGCACATACAATTTCTGGAAGAATTAAAGGGGATAAAAGAGTGCTAGCTCATAAAGCAGAGACAAGGAAGCTACGCTAAGAAAGCTGCAACAGAGGAGAGTTTCCTGCCTCACAGACTCCAGGTAAGGCTGTGCGTGCTGAGACGTCAAGCTTGAAGACCTGAGTTGAAAAGTGGCTGACAGGGTAACTGCAGGTCTGTTATAAAATCCCTGGCTGCTCCATCTTGTCATACAAGGACGCCTGCAGACTTCTCCTTACCCTCAACAATGACAGAGGACAAACCAGAGAAAAGGAAAGTAAAATAAAATAATTTACAAAATAAAACAATTAAATGGAAGGTGACAGAGTCTGGATGTGTTGTTCCCCTCAGACTCATGTAGAAGTCTGATTCCCGATGTGGCAGTGTTCAGAGCTCTTTGAGACATGGGGCAGATCTCTCATGAATGGATTAATGCTCTTCCTAGTGGGTGTGGGTAGTGAGTGAGTTCTCACTTTATTAGTTCCCACGAGAGCTGTTTGTTTAAAAGACCCTGGCACCTCCCCGCCCCCCTTGCTTCCTCTTGCCATGTGATCTGCTTGTACCTGCTGCCTGTCATTTTCTGCCATGAGTAGAAGCAGCCTAAGGCCCATGCCAGATGCAGCTGTCCCAGAATCATAAGCAAATAAACCTCTGTTCTTTATAAATTACCCAGTCTCACGTATTCTGTTATAGCAACACAAAATGGACTAATACAGGATGGTTGGTTAAGAAAGTCAAGGAAGTCTCCCAGAAAGCAAAGCAAAACCAGAGATAGAAAATATTAGAGAAGGGCCGGCCGGGGGCGCACGGGATAGTGCGCCGCTTGGGAAGCGCGGCGGCGCTCCCGCCCGAGGGTTCAGATCCCACATACAGACCGGTTCCCGCTCACTGGCTGAGCGAGGCGCGGGGGCAGCGCCGAGGGTTGCAATCCCGTTGCCGGTCCCCAGTCCGGTACGGGGGCAACACTGAGGGTTGCAATCCGTTGCCAGACACGGAAAAAGACAAAAGACAAAAGACAAAAAAAAAAAAAAAGAAAGAAAGAAAATATTAGAGAAGGCTAAGTCCAAAATCCCATTAACAGAAATTCATAATTGGAGAAGAGAGTAAGTTATCTTCTTTGATAAAATAATAATATGTATTTCCCAAGTTGAAAGGAAACATAAGACTACAAATTGAGAGGACTAGTGAGTACATAGGAAGATTTTTTTTTTTCCTTTTTTTGTCTTTTTTCATGACCGGCAACGGGATCACAACCCTCGGTGTCGTGCCCGCACCGCGCTCAACCCGTGAGTGGACCGGTCTCTATATGGGATCCGAACCCTCGGCGGGAGTGCCACCAAGCACCACACTCTACCGAGTGCACCACCAGGCCGGCCCCATAGGAAGATTTTTTTTGTCCTTTTTGTCTTTTTTCGTGTCCGGCAATGGATCGCAACCCTCAGTGTCGCGCCCATACCGGACCGGGACCGGCAACGGGATCGCAACCCTCAGTGTTGCGCCCGCATCTCGCTCAGCCAGTGAAAGGGAACCGGTCTGTATGTGGGATCCAAACCCTCGGCGGGAGCGCCGCCATGCTCCCAAGCGGCGCACTGTAGCAGTGCACCACCGGGCCGGCCCAAGGAAGATTTTTTAAAAAGACAATCTTAAACACATTATTATGAAATTTCAGAATAACAAAGCTAAAGGAAAAATTATAAAAATTATCAGAAAAAAATGCAGATCGCTTTTTTTTTTTTAAAGAAAACATACGAGATACACTTCAGGAAGTAGGACTGGACACAGACTTCATGAATATGACCCCAAAAGCATGGGCAACCAAAGCAAAAATAAACAAATGGGATTATATCAAACTAAAGAGCTTCTGCACAGCAAAAGAAACAATTAACAGAGCTAAAAGACAACCAACAGAGTGGGAGAAAATATTTGCAAAATATACATC